GCATCACCTCTGACCCGGCAAGAACACGTGCAGGTGCACAACGTGAGCAAAATACGTGCCAGGTGACACCCCAGACCTAGAGTATGTCTGGACGCCCAGACATCTGTCAGTGGTGGATTCGTGCATCTAACATCACTCAGCAAAAGCAATGAGCAGATTCCCGCTCCCAGGACAGCTCTGAGTGAGAGAAGCCAGACAAAAAAAGAAAACGCACACAGTGTGATTCCATTTATACAAATTACCAAAAAAGAAAAAAATGAGCAAAACTAAACTATTTCTTTAACGACATATGCTTAGTGGTAAAACTATATGAAAAAAGAGAGTAGAGGAGTCTCTTCTGCAAGGGCAGGACAGTGACTGCCCTCGGGGTGCAGGGGGTGGATTGGGGGGACATTGCCTGCTACTCTGTCTGATAGATCAGGAGGGTGCCCCTCTCTCCCTGGATGTCCTGATTTGCAATTTACAATAAGTTTCCCAGCGGCCCTTCTCTGGCACCCCCAGGACCTGCCCTCCACGGGCTGTGACTCCCCCTTGCTTGGGGCTGGCTCCCCCAGGGGCTGGCAGCTTTATCTTTGGCCCAACAGAAGGCAGGCTCACTGCCGTCACCTGATGCCGGACAGGTGTCCACACCGGAGCCAAGGAGCTGCGAGGTGGAGCCCCAGCCCTCCAGCCCAGCTCTGAGCTCTGGGGCCAAGACGCCACCTGGGTGTTCGCAGGGGCAGCAAAGACCAGCGGTGTGGTGGGGGCATGGGACATAACGGCCAGGGTGAGAGAGACGGGCGGCTTAGCCCAGGGAGCTCGCATGTGACGGCATCAGAATCACACGGTGTTGGGGGGGAAGGGTTAGAGACGCAGCTTCCTGACCAGGGTCCCCCCGTCACTCTGCCCACCTCTGATGGGGGCCCTGCCAGCTCCATCCATGAGGGGACCCCAGTCTCTCTCAAGCTCCCCAGGTGTGAGAAATTGCATCTGGGGTCTTTGAATGCTCCCAGTCGGGCATGTTCCCTAGCAGGACAGCTGGACCGGCGACCTTTGTGGGTAGCGACCTCACCCCATCCGCCACACTGTGAAGCACTGCAGCACGCTTCGAGAGGTGAGGAACTTGGCCCGGGGCGTGGGCAGCGCGTGCCGGGAGATACGAGCCCGGTTTGCGCCCCCTCCTGGGAACCGTGAGCTCCCTCACGCGCTGAGCCCGTGACTCGGCTGCACATTTGCGTGACTAAGGACATGGAGGCGGCCGATCCACACGACATCCGTGAGTAAAAGGAACTGGTCTGGACCTGTGGGCGGTGCAGCCGCGCCACTCACTTCCACAGAGAGCGTGTGCACGGGAAGCAGGTGCTGGAAGGCATGAGGGGCACGAGGGTCCTTGGGGACAGTACCTTCAGGAGGGGCTTCCACGCCTGGGGGCAGGGCTGTTAGATCCTGGGGCCCAGACCTCTGGGGAGGGTGCCCCATGGGTGCTGGGGTCCCTGGGGTACCCCATTCCGCCCCCCCTGCCCGGGAAGAGGAGTGGGGCAGGGGCTGCCCTCAGCTGTTCAGGGAGGTGGCAGCACGGGGACGAGCCAGAGCGTGCAGAGACCAAGTGACAGACACGGAGTGACGGCCACCAAGTGACAGGACGGCACAGGCTGCCCCAGCAGCAGGTGGGCGGTCTAGGTCCTGTCGCCAGGAGGAACATGGTCAGAATATTTCGATACTGTAAAATGAATCTCATGGTCACTGGAAACAAAAATGTTAAAAATTTTTACTTAATAAGTATTCAATTTATTAAAACTTACATGCATTTTTGTTGCAAAGTATTATGGAGAATCTACAGAAATTTTCAAGCATAAAAATATATCACAGTAGGATAAAATTCTGGCTGAAGTTAGATAACAATAACGAGTTTAAGGAAAATGTTATGATGAAGATTTCCGACTATGAAAAAAAATGTTTATGTGTTTTTTTCTAAATGATTGATAGTGGGTATCAAAACCACTTTGGTTTTTAGGTCCTTGGATATATTTACAGGAGTGACTAACAGCTTTATTTCAAAATGTCAATAATTATACCACGCCAGAAATTACATTCTTCGCAATTACTTACATTTCTTAATTTTTCAAAAATGTAGATGTCGACTTCAAAATGTACACGTGGTGTGACAGCTTCTCAAAATCTTTCAGGGAAAACAGGAGCTTTGAAAACCCATCCTGCACCACTCCCTCCCACCCCACATTCGGCCTGATCTACTGACAGCCGCTGACTGCACCGCGGAAGCCAGGAGAGAGCGTGCCTGGGGACACGTGTGGCGAGGGCCCAGCCTAGCCTGGAGTACAGCCTCCCTGGTCACTGAGGGCGGCCGGGGGAGGGCTGAGGCCTGAGGCTCGGGGGTGGGCAGGGAGGGCGCTTGGGCTAGGACCTGCTTGGAGACAGAGGGAGGGTCTTGGAGGAGATGGGGGTGGAGGAGAGTGAGTCGACGGGTCAGGGAAGAGCAGTGAGGAGACGGGACTCCGCCTGGTCGCGGCCTTGGCCGTGGAGCTGACCGTGCGTCCAGGAAGCCTCTGCAGGATTCTGGCAGCACCTAAGAGTCCCAGGAAGCAGACTTGCTCACTGGGCATGTGCTGGACGTGCGGGTGGTGGGGAGAGGCTGGTGCAGAGGCCGGGGTGAGCGGCCCTCACGGCAGTTTGCTCGTGAGGACTCAGCCTGTTTGGAGCTGAGCTTCAAATTAGCTTTGAGTGGCGCCCAGGACTGCCTGGACGTCCTTGTCCCATTTGCTCTGGGAAGGTTGGGGGTGCCTGATCTAGACTTGGTCTGATCTCGAAAGTAATGTCACAGTCATGTACCAACACTGACGAGCACCCACCACGCCCGAGGCACCAGGACACAGGGTGCCACGCCCTTCCAGGGAGCAGAGCTTGCCATAAACGCGGGCAAGTGTGCAAACACACAGTGAGACTCACAACACACCCAGCAGAAGCTTCCGGTCACTCCACTGAACAAAGAAGACCAGTGACCACAAACACTTTGGGGAAGCAGGCGGGTAGAAGAAGGAAGGGCAATGCGGCCCCTGCCAGGTGCCTCCCTAGGGCTCCCGCCGGCCCCTCCCCACTGGCCCAGGCCCCCTGGTCCCTGCTTGACCGAGGAGATGGGACACGCCCACTAAGTGCTTTGAGGCTGTAACAGCCAAAGCTGACTCAGCCGGCATCTATAGCCCATTTGTTCTGTATTTTACCCAAATTGGATGCACCTTTTCCCAAAGTAGACAATGCCATTAGGCCCGGAACCATTGGCGATGACACTGCTCCTTCAGTCAAGGGGTTTGCATGCCACCCCCCAATTCAGTCCTCAGCCCAGACCCCGGGCCCGGTTGCAGGGAGACCTGAGAACCAGGTGATAAAGTTGGCATCTTCCCTTTGGGCCCACAACAGCTGAGACCCCCGGAGGGTGTTTAGGCTGGATGGCGGGTGAGGGGTGTCAAGGCCACACGCAGGCTTCAACAGCCTTCGACGCCAGCCTGGGACAGAGGGAAGGGGCAGCCCCCCGCCCCTGCAGCACAGGGACCCTGCAGGCAGGGCGCTCGGTTCCGTGGACGCAGGGTCCGAGTACAGGATGCAGCTGGAGCCCCAGGGCTCTGGAGCAGGGCCTGCCTCCCTCTGAGACCGGGTGGTGCCCACCGACAGCCCAGGCACTCATCCTGAGACGGATCTTCTCCAACTGCTGCTGTCCTCACCTACCCACCAGCCCGCCCTGGCTACTGCTCCCAGCTCCCAGACAGCCAGACCCACTTCTCTCAGGTGCCTTGGGTGGGCTGTACACAGTGGGGCTGCCGGCACCCCGGCCGCCAGACTGAGGCCTCGCTGCCCACGTTTCTCCCCTGACCGGGTGCTCCTCGCCCACCTGGGGTCACATCACAGGGCCCCCGGGGCCACGAGACCTGAGCCGGGATAGAATTAGTCCCCTGCATCCTCGGACCTGGCAGGCCCTGCCGCGAGTCAGCTTCCTTCGCCGAGGAGCATTTACACTGTGGCTGCTGTAAGCCTGGCCGCAGTGCCCACCGTCTTGTGGGAGCTCTGACCCCCTGCTCTGCGCCAGGGGAGGGGGCCCACCCGTCACCCTCCTGCAGAAGACGTGGAGGCTGTGCTGTCTGGCTCTTTGCTTCACTGTGAGGGGGCACCCTCCCTGGATCTCTGCCAGGCGGGGGTAGGGGTGTCCTGCTCTCTGCCCAGCCACAGGCCCTGGCTTGGGGCAAGGCTCGTCCCTGTGCTGAGGAAACCCGGTGAAGGGGTTAGTCACGAACCAGCAGGACTGCCAAACTGAGGGAGAGCTTGTCTGTTCTTCTGGTTCCCTTTCCACACCGAGGAGGCAGGCTGGCAAGGTCTGGATGAAGCTCTAATTATTGGTCCCCCATCCATGGGACCCTAACTCAAGAAAGGGGCAGGCCAGACCCCAACCGCTCAGACGGGTCTACTCCCTGGACTCTACCCCATTCCGCCCCCCCTGCCCGGCCCCCCCAGCCCTGCCTGGCCCTCCTGGGCACCTCTGCAGCCGCCCCTCCCCACCTCCCCGCGTGGACTGCGGCAGCCCCGCCCCTACCGGCGGGGGCAGGGAGCGAGGGTGACAGGGCGGAGGGCGGCCCAGCCGCCCGGCACTCTCCACGGGCTGGGCCGCGGCCCTCCATCCGTGCGCCCACAGAGCCCGCGGCTGCCCGCGACGCACCGCTCAGGAACACCGGCCACAAGGCTGGCCGCGCCCCCAAACGGTGCCTACCGCGCACAGGCCTCCACCCCTCCCCACCCCCCCGCAGTGCATCCCCCAGGAGAGCGGCCAACGTCCCCGAGGGCCAAAGTCCCCAGAACGCCCTCGGAAGCCCCAGGCGCCCCCAATTGCCCGGCAAAGTGAGCACGGCCCTGCGACCGCCCCGACCCCCAGTCCCGCGCCCAGGTGCCCCCACCCCCGTCCCCGCTCTGGTGACACTGCGGCAGCGCGCGGGCGGGGCGCACCGGGGGCGGGGCCGGCGTGGGCCGCGGCGGGCGGCGCGGGGGGCGTTACCATGGCGGCCCTGCGCGCGTAGCCTTCCCGGCTCGCAGAGCCAGAGCCTGTGCGCGGAGCCGGAGGCCGGGGCGCCAAGGCTGCTGGGGGGCGAGGCCAGGCGGGGGGCGCCGGCCTCGCGTAGATCTCGGGCGGCGGGTGCGCGCGGCGGCTCAGGCAGTGAGTGAGAGAGTACGGCGCCGCCGGCGGCGCACGGAGGATGCAGGCCATGGACCCTGCTGCGGCCGATTTTTACCAGGAGGACGGCAAAGACTTAGACTTCTACGACTTCGAGCCGCTCCCCACTCTGCCGGAGGACGAGGTGAGCCCCCGACCCGCGCTGGGACCCCCACCGTTCCCCACGGAGGGGTTCGCGGAGAGTTCCCCAGGCCCCCTGCCCCCGGGCCAGGTTCTGACAGCGGGGGGATACCAAAGCCCTTCTCACCAGCAGCACCAGCCTTCAACGTTTTCCCCCAGAGGGTACAGGACCGGGGGATGCTACCTGGGACAGCAGCGGGTGGGCTGTCACTGAAGAAGTTGGCGCCCTGCGGGGGTGGGCTCCGGATTACAGATGTCGGGGGGATGAGCGTGGGGGGCGCTTAGCGGCAGGGCCCGAGCACTGTATTCCTCCTTGCGGAGACCCTAGGAGGTCAGCGGAAGGCGCCAGCAGCAGAGCCCGGTCAGGCCAGACTGCTCAGGAGCTGGGGGCGGGGGAGGCCTCCATGACTGAGGGCTGATTCCTGCTCATAGAGGACAAAAGTGGCCTTCAGTCAGGAGCCCAAGTCCTGAGCCCCCAGCCAGGGTGCAGAGGGGCCAGGGTCTCTGTCACATGGGGCTTCTGGCCATTAACTGGGCCACTCTGCCCGCGACTCTGTCAGAGACGCCTCCGCACCCGCCTGGGTTTGCCCCTGTAGCTCTGGCTTCCCCGTAGTGCCCCACAGACCGTGGGTTGGGGTCAAATGAATAAACTCCGTGGCCCTTGAACAAGCCAGTCCCCGCCACACGAGAGGTGGCCCCCAGAGGACACAGCTGCTCCCAAGAAGACCCTCTAGTCTCCCAAGGCTGGGGGTCTGTGCAGATGCCCTCCTAGCCCCTAGCAGGTACAGGCACCCATCCGTGGGGTCTGCTGGCGCTGTTGCAGTGTTGCCCTCTAAATGACAAGACCCTCCACGTGCCCATCTGGCCAGGCCCACCAGCGAGACAGACCCGGCCAGCCCCTCCTGGGCTAGAGGGGGTTCATAACAGCTAAAGCTGCGGTCTCCAGGTCCCTCGCCCTCAGCTGGCCCCTGCCCACTTCCCCAGCAGAGCTGGTTCTGAGGACAGAGGGGCTCATGCCCTAGAAGCAGTCTTTCTGGTGGCAGAGTCTGTTGAGGCTGCCGAGGCAGTGCCCCGGGTTGGGGGGGTGTGCTGCCTCAACACCCCCCCCACCCCCGTGGCCTGGATTCGGCGTGAGAGAAGGCTGCGGAGAGGAAAGGCAAGGGAATAAAGAACCGTGTGGATATCTCCGTGGCTTTGATGGAGCAAGAAAGGGTGCTCCCAGCCGTCAGCCTTCAAACGCTCCCCCCGGGAGGACGCATTTCCAAAGTGTCTGTTGGGAGACTCACGTCCCCCCAGATCACTCTCCAGGGCAGACGCACAGTATGTGCTTCTCCACGTGGGGCCTCTGCACTGGCTGCCCCCCACTTCCAGGGCCTCCTCCGTGCCTGGCACACCGAGCCGGTGACTGATGCCAAATAAACAGGACAGGCAGAGCCGGGATTTGGACCCAAAGCCTCAATCCTGAGCCCACCGTCTGTCCTGCGGCCGTGCCCTGAGGCCTCCTCCTGGTAACAGTGTCCCCAGCGCCCCTCGGGGCTGGAGCGGCCCCCAGCCGTGCACAGTGCATGGGGCCGGGGGTCCCCATCACCCTGTGGCCGTCACCTCCAGGTGAAGTGGGACGCCGCCTTTGTAGTAGCATCCAGCCGGGAAGCTCGGGGCTCCTCAAACTCCTCGCACCCTCCCTGGCGAGAGAGGCATTGCCTTTGGGTGTGTTCTCGTGAAACAGGAGGAATGTCCCTGATTCCTGCACACGTTGGGTGCGGTTGGTGTTGAAGGTTTTAAATCCCCGCCAGGGACATGTGACCGCCTGGTACAGCGTTGTGTAGTCAGGTTGTATCCGAAAAGCCATCCTGCGTGAGAGGGAGGAGGGCCATGCGGAGGAGCCCCCGGAGGGAACCGTGGCCAAGGACAGCGGGCAGCTTCCAGGGAGGGACGGTGGGTGCCAGACCCAGGACTGTACAAGCCACATGAGACACAGGCATTTGCTGGTTATACAGCTAATTATATCAACTGACCACGGTGAGCTCAGGAAATAGAACCCTGTGGACCCCACCCCACAGGAGCCCCTGGAACGTCCATGCCCTGTTGTGACCCCAGAGAAAATCCAAATTGCTGGTGGACACATGAGAAAATGTTTGACTTCATTATTATCAGGCAACACAAAATACACCCGCTGCGAAAACCTTCCCACAAGCGCCAGGTTGGCGAGAACCAGAATGCTGGACGGTGGCCCGAGCTGGCGGGGAACGGGTAGCGGCCCTGCCCCTCTGCCAGGGTGTAGGGGGGATGGAGTGGACCAGCCTCTTTGGAAAACAGTTTGGCATCCGATAGTGGGTGGGGATGCCTGCACTTGTGTCCCAGCAACTTCAGTCTGGGCACCTGCCCCAGAGACACATGACCCATGGGCGACGCATGAGCACGAGAACTCAGGGCCAGAGACCACCCGGGGGGCGTGCTGAGGGGGCCGGCACCGCCCAGCAAGGTCCTGGAGGTCACTGCCCGCCGGTCCCTGGCCACCTGCAGGCAGCACCACTGCATCGGTACAAGCTAAGGCCGGGGTGTGGATCCGGCAGACCCCAGGGCATCGGAAGGCAGGCAGTGCCACTGGCCTGCAGGGTCCTTCGGGGGGCAGGGCATCTGCCAAGCCCCAGACTCCCCCAAGGGGTAATGAGTCCAGCAGGGCATCTCCCCAGCATCTGTGGGCCGGGAGCTGGGCTGGGCCTGGGGATCTGAAAGCAGGTGGGGAGCATTTGAAATGCAGAATGACCCCTGGGTCCTGCGGCCCCACGTGGCCCTGGCTCGCAGTCTGTGTCTGCGGGGCAGGAGCTCCCGCATGGCTGGCGTGTTGCCGTCACTGGACAGCAGCCCGTGACAGGAAACCAGCACTGCCCTGTAGGACCCAGACTGGCGACGGGCTGCCTTGGGAAGCCGCGTCCTCTTGCCTCCCAAGCCCCCCTCCCAGCCAGGATGGGGGTTGAGTCTGTGCCCACACAATTGCAAGGGGGGCCCTCTTTCCTGCCCTGGGTGGTCTCCCCCTCAGATCTCCCCCCAGAGCCCACCCAGGCAGCGCCTTGCTGGGCAGTAGTGAGGGGTGAGGTGCGAGCTCCAGTAGGCTTTCTGGGTCTGCCCGGAAGGCTGGCTCTATACCCAGGAGATGGAGCTGGCCGGCAATGACCAGGTCAGGCCACATGGGCAGTGGCAGGAGGGAAGTCTCCCCAAGCCTGCCACATCCCCTGGTGGGTGCCCAGAGGCGAGGCTGGAGCACAGGCGTCTGGAGGAGCCTCGCTGGCTTTTCTGTGTGTAGCACGTCACTCCGCACACACACACACACACACACACACACACACACACACACACAAAAAAAGTCTGTCTCGGCCTGTGAAGCCCCTGCTAGCCTCCAGGCACCGTCCACTTGAGTGTGGATCGGGGCCTCATGGCGTGAGGCTGAGGGCCCATGGGGTAATGAGCTGCCCCTCTGGGAAGAGCACAGGCTCCCATCTATCAGGGCTGGAATTTTGGGGCGGGTGGTGGACTGAGGGGTCCTAAATGGCCAACACCTGCTTCCCGGTCTCTCCATCTCCTTGTCTTTGGCCCATTAGCCAAGGCGGCCCAGCACCCCCGCCTGCCCTACTTGGGCCGTGGATTCAGGCAAGGAAGGGTCATTCTTCCTGCCTGGGCCAGAGCAGGATGGACCAGGGGGGTGGGCTGCGGGTCCCAGAGGGAGGTGACCGTGAGCACAGTGTCCGGGATCCGTCATCATGTGGCAAGACCTGCCCTGGGTGTGTTGGGAGCCTGCAGCGTCCCTCGGTGCTGTCCTGGAACTTGCTTCAGCTGAATCCCACCTTCCCGTTTTAACAGTGGGGTTTCAGAGGAGCTAAGACCAGTGAATGGAGGCATTAGCCACACGGAAGCAGTGACTCAGGACCCATGGAAGTTACCCCATAGAGTCACGCAGAGAGTCCCCCCAGCAGGAGCTCCCCCCAGTAGGTGCTTTCCCCAGCGGGTGCTCCCCGTGAATGGGTGCAGGTCTCCAGCTTCCCCGAGGAGCTTCCACCTCACCAGGTCATCTTTCCGCTGGGCAGGGGCAGCAGAGGCCTGGGCCTGAGCAGGAAGCCGTGCCATGGTTCTGCCCTGGGCTCCCAGCTCCTGGCTGCACAGCTGCGTGCCAACAGCCAGTGGAGAGTCAGCGAGGCCGCTGTAGGGGGACTGGCTCACTCACCCTCCTAAATAACCAAGCCACGGGGTCCTCAGGCTGTTCACTGTGCAGGCGTCTGTGTGTACGTGTGCGTGTGTGTGCGTGTGTGCACACGGTGCCCAGGTGTCTCTCTAACCAGGCTTCGCGGGCATCCCTGGGAGCCTCGGGCTCTCCTGAGTCGTGGGGGTCCTGGGTGGGGCAGAGAGGCCCCCAGGTGGAGCAAACCCGGGGAACCAGCCGGGAGATTTGGAAGCTGAGATTTCTGGTTCACGAGCCTCTCAGCCGCCCCAGTCTAATCGTGTGCTCTGCTTTCTGCTATGCCCCGTCCACCCTCCTCCCACGGTCGGTACAACACGGGAGCCCAGCAAGGGCTCTCTGCTCTCAGAGCTGCCTTTTCCTCATCCATCTTAACCACCCCCCCCCAAGAGAAAGAGTTGGGAGGGCCCAGGAGGATGTCATTGAGCCCCTCCCTGAACTGAGAAGGAACAGACGTGGGATGAGCCTAGTCACACGGGAGGACCTGCCGCATCCCCCTCCTGTACCCCCCCCCCCCGCCGCCCCGCATACCACACGCTGCTTGGCCAGACACACACACGGCGGCTCCTCACACTGCTGCTTTCTTTCTGGGTTTAAACCCTTCATCTCCTTTGCTGTGGTCAAGGCCCCCGTGCAGTACAGGTGGGAGAATTTCAAGGGCAGGAGATGGTAGGCTCCTTTTAGGACCCAGCAGCTTGGCTACACGTGAGAACATCCTGTGTGCTGGAAGGATGGAGCAAGGAGGCTGGAGGGAGAGCTAGGTAGGGGGGCGGAAGCAGGGGCACCTCTCTTCTGTAGCACCCCCAACTCACCCCAACCCTCCAACCCAACTCACCCCGACCTCCCCCCCCAACTCACCCCGACCTCCACCCCCAACTCACCCCGACCCTCCTCCCTCTCACCCCGACCTCCACCCCCATCTCACCCCGACCTCCACCCCCAACTCACCCCGACCCTCCACCCACACCTCTCCCTGAGTCTCCGCCCTGCCCTCCGAGTCGGGTGTCCAGGACCTTTCCTGACCCTCCGGCCTGCTCCCCCAGGCCCCAGCTCCCAGCCTGGCTCCCTCAGTCCCCTCCCCTCCTTAGGCTGGTGGTGCGTGAACACGCAAATACCCGGAGCTAACCAGGGTGCCAAACAATGGCCCAGAAAAGGGCTGTGAGGTACAGGGTGTCTGATGTGTGAGCCTGTGTATTGTGTGCACCCATTGATGAATATGTTTGTGCATATGTGACTCACGTGAATACATGTGGGCACGTGTGTGGATGTGTGGGTTTTGCATGCCTGTGCATCAAAGTTAGTAAATGTGTGAGAGCTGTGTGCATGCTGGCGTGGGTCCGTCTGTGCACACACACTTGACAGATTGTGTTAGCACGCTCTGTGCACACACGTGTGTGTGAGTGAGTGTGGGTGGCACAACCACAGCTGAGTCAGACCAGGAGGTGGAGCCCGCTGTGTGGGCGCCTCAGAGTCTAGCTGTGCAGGAGCCAGGCGACTGTGTCCTCCACGTGCACCGCCCGGGGCCGTTGTCCAGGCGGCTCTGCAGCCGCGGTGTCATGAGCATGTTCTTGCGTGTCCCGTGACTGTCGTAGGCTCACGTCACGTTCATGGGCTGGCGGCTCCCCGCGCACGGCTGTGCCTTCGTGGCAACAGCTCCATCTTCCCTCACCTGCTCGCAAGCTGGAAAGGTGAGGCTCCCTGCGTGCCCACCGAGGTCTGTGTGCTGAGCCCGTGGGGCCGGGCCAACGGCGGGGGGCCGCACAGTCGGGCGAAGGGCAGACTGCAAACACCTGCTCCAGCGCCAGCTGATGGTACAGCACATGCTCTGCGGCTCCTGACGTCCGGGAACCGTGGCATGTCGTCTGGTGGGGTTTTTTAAGACATTGCCGAAAACCTCGTTCCCGACATAGAATGAAACGTTGCGGCGTGGCGTCTGCTTCCCGGGAGCTGTCTGGACGTTGGGGGCTGCGGGGGCCTGTCGGCAGGCCCGCGGCCCCTCTGCCGGCGCCCGCAGCTCAGCCCAGGCCTGTCTTGCAGGAGAACGTGTCCCTGGCCGACATCCTCTCCCTGCGGGACAGCGGTCTCAGCGAGCGGGAGGCCTGGGCCGTGTGCCTGGAGTGCAGCCTGTCCATGAGGAGCGTCGCGCACTCGGCCATCTTCCAGACCCTGTGCATCACGCCCGACACCCTGGCCTTCAACACCAGCGGGAATGTGTGCTTCATGGAGCAGCTCAGCGGTGAGGCCTGGGCGGGCACCCGCAGGGGAACGTGAGCGCAGAGTCCAGCGGACGCGGGCCCTCCCGGGGCCGATGGTCCGGGAGCCGGGTTTCCATGGTAACCTGCTGGTACCCCCGCCCCTCCCCACCGTTGTGAGGCTCGGGATGCGCTGGTTCTCGCAGCTCCCCGTCCCGGGAGAGCCTGGAGGCCTGTCTCCCCAGTGACCCGGCGCCTTATCTTCCCTTCCCAGACGACCCTGAGGGAGCCTTTGTCCCCCCGGAGTTCGATGTGACTGGGAACACCTTTGAGGTAAGTGGCAGCAGGTGGGCCAGTGCCCGGCCCCCCTCCTACCGTCACCTGGCGGCAGTGAGCGCCTGCGGTCGGCGCGCCCACCTCTGTCCCCTCAGGTCCCCAGCGACTTGGCCGCAGCGATAGCCCGCGTCCGGCCACACGCTTCTCACTACAGCGCGTAGCATGTTGTCTGAGTGCGAATTTACTATATTTAAGATGCTAAAAGTGCCTGAAATTACCGGTGGTGACTGACGGGGGTCACAGCTCCTCTGAGGGACTGGCAGGGGCAGCTCACGGCCCCAGAGAATCACCCACGAGAGTGAGAGGCAGCCACGCCTAGGACAAGGCCAAGGTCACCGAGGCCTCCGGGGCCCCTGGGCACCACCAGTGCAGCGAGGTGGGCAGGGGACCTAGAGAAGGGAGGGGGCCCGCTCATGCTGCTTTCACTTTCTAAAAAGAGTCTCCTGCTGTGTCTTAGCTTCTGGAACTTCCTTTTATGTGATTTCCCTAGACTCTTCCACACTGGGTGTCATGGCCTTCGTGGGGGGAGGCCTGGTGGGGTCAGCGCTGCTCCCCGTGGCCTCCGTGTGTCCAGTGAGAGCTCCCAGCGGGCTGGCGGGGTCGCTTGCAGAGCAGGGCAACTCTTTCCTGCGGGGCTGCCTGAGGTGCGCTCCCACCACCGCCCAGAGACCCCTCACACCCCCTCCTGCGGGATCGGTTCCGCTGGGATTGCCAGGGGTTGCGTTCCTGTCGGTCAGGTGGTGGGGTGGGGACCCCCTCTGTGGGAGAGCCCATTTCCATCCAGTTGCTCAGCTTTTCTCCCTGTATTTTCGTCCGTTTTGTCAGGACTGCAAATGCCATGTCCACCGTGTGTCTCACTTCCTTGAAGGCAGCGGTTCTCAAACTTTTTGGTTCTTGGAACCCTTTACACTCCTAAAAATCACTGAGTGCCCAAAGAGCTTTGTTTGTGTGAGTTATATCTGCCAGTACTCACTGTATTACAGGCTAAAACGGAGAAATGCATGAAAAGTCTACCTATTAATTAATTCAGTGACAACCGTAAACCCATTGCATGGTAGCACATATAAAATACTTCCGTGAGAAATGACAGTATCCCCTCCAAAAACACAGTGAGGAGAGTGGCATCGCTTTACGTGTTTGTAAATCTCTTGAATGCCCGGCTCAGCAGAGGCCTGGGTTCTCACAGCCACGTCTGCGTCCAGTCTGCTGTGACAGCACAGGCCCGCGGCCCTGGCAGCCTCCACGGCCTGTTGCTGGGAAATTGTTTGGCCTCTGGAACCCCGCTTTGAGAAAAGCTGCCTGAAGCCCTCCCCTGATGGAAAAAAATGTTTCTCATTTCTAATATAGTCCAATTATTGGTGTTTTCTTTCGCTGTGTTTTTTTGTGCCTTAAGAAACCTTGCCAGCCACAAGATCCAACGGGTATTTACTGACATTTTCTACCAAGAGTTTTAAAGTTTTGTTCTTCATATTTAATCCGCCTGAGGCTGATTTCTTTTTAATATTTATTTATTTATTTGGCTGCAGCAGGTCTTTTAGTTGCAGGATCTTTAGTTGCAGCATGTGGGATCTAGTTCCCTAAGCAGGGATCGAATCAAACCCGGGCCCCCGGCATTGGGAGCGTGGAGTCTTAACCACTGGACCTGCAGGCAGTCCTGAGGTGGATTTGTAATGTATGTGAGGCAGGGACCCAGGTTCCTTGTTTTATGTGGATATAACCAGTGCATGTGAGGCAGGGACCCAGGTTCCTTGTTTTTATGTGGACATAACCGGTGCTCCCAGCATTGGGAGCGTGGAGTCTTAACCACTGGACCTGCAGGCAGTCCCGAGGTGGATTTGTAATGTATGTGAGGCAGGGACCCAGGTGCATTGTTTTATGTGGATGTAACCGGTGTATGTGAGGCAGGGACCCAGGTTCATTGTTTTTATGTGGATATAACCGTTGCTCCCAGTTGTTAGTTGGTTGGCCCCGGTGCACGTCACCTAAGCCATATACACCCCAGTTTCAGACAAAAATGGGTCTGCTTCCCGGGCCTCTGCCCTAGTCCATGGCGGTCTGCCCGCCGCTGCACTGAAGCTGCATTTATTGACCACAGCTCCGCCACGAGCCCAGCATCTCACAGCGAACGTGCCCGGTCCCTGTTCTTTTCAGAAGCGTTCTGACTATGCTTAGCTCTTTATTCTTCCACATCAATTTGAGAATTAGTATCAAGTTCCAGGAAAAGCTCTGTTGGCGTTTTGACTAGAATGGCTCTGAATGTGTGGATGAGTTTGGGGAGAATTCATGCGCCTATGGTATGTTATACGTGTTATACCTCTCCATTTATTTAGCTCTCAGGTACCGTCTCAGTAACGTTTGAAAGCCTTTATTGTAAGTTTTACTTGGACGCCCTTTACTAGTTTATCCTCAGGAATGAGATATTTTCTGACTCTATTCTAAATGGTGGTCATCTTTCTAATCACAGTTTTTTGCTTTTGGGGCAAGTCTACAGAAATGCAGTTTGCTTTACCATCTTAATCGTACATCAGCCATCTTGGTAAATTCTTTTATTCTTCCTGCTAACTTACAGTCTTTTAGCTTCTCACTTAACTGATCAGATCGCCAGCAGAAGGTGGTAGGCAGTGTTGATACCACTGTCCAAGGGCTTTTGCTGCCAGGTTCCCCTTCCAAGTGTCCTGAGCGGGCCTGGAGCATTGCCGTGACGGGGTCAGTGATGTCTCCACGATTCTAAGAGAGTCTTTCCACCTCCCCACCCTGGATGACATTTGCAGCGGCCCCCTGAAGTCCCCAGTGTGCCAGAGGGATGGAATTCTATCAGGAAACGCTTCTGCATACTTTGAAATGATCATTAAGATGTTAATATCTCCCTTTTTTATTTTCTAGCATTAAATCAACCTTTCCTGCTTAGAGAAACCTAAGCTGGCTGTGTCCTATTTTTTCTTTACGCCGTTGCATTTGATTGACTAATGCCTGCTTTGGGTCTCTGTGTATTTTTCTCGAGTGGACTGGTAGTTTTCCATTCTGTTGATGTTTTTTGTTTGTTTGTTTGTTTTGCGGTTCGCGGGCCTCTCAGTGTTGCGGCCTCTTCCGTTGCGGAGCACAGGCTCCGGACACGCAGGCTCAGCGGCCATGGCTCACAGGCCCAGCCGCAACGCAGCATATGGGATCTTCCCAGGCCGGGGCACGAACCCGTGTCCCCTTCATCGGCAGGCGTACTCCCAACCACTGCACCACCAGGGAAGCCCTCTGTTGACGTTTTTGACTCGTGTGAGCCCTCAGGACTATGCTGGCTGTATGTAAGTGCCCCCGCTTCCTTTGCCGTGTAATAGTTTATGTAAGAATGGGATGGTCTGTTCCTTCAAAGTCTGGTCAAACTTACTTATGAAGCCATCTGTTTCCTTGGAGCAAAGATTTTTAATTGCTGCTCTATTTTTAATAATTATAGGATTTATCTGTTTGTATTTCTTATTGAGTCAGCTTCTTGGTAAACCATATGTTTCTAAAAATTTACCCATTGTTACCTGTGTTTTTAAAGTTGCAGGTGAGGTCCTTTCTGAATCACTGCGTCATCGTAGGTGCCCTGTTCCACTCCTTGGATAATTTATTTGTACTTTCTCTTGCCAGCCTTGCCGAGGGGGTGGGGTTATATATTTTCTTAGTTTTGTCAACAGACATAATCAATAACAATTCATAACAGGAAAGGAAGGAGTGTTATGTGAGCCAAACTGAGGACTACAGCCTGAGAGACACAGGTTCAAGAGGCACTTGAACCATGTTCCGCAGGCTACAAAATGGGGAAGGCTTGTAAAGGCCAAATCCACAGAATTCCTGAAGTTGTTTGTCAGGAATCAGGATTGGAGCTGCAAGAAGTAAGGGTGCTGGCTCAGCACGATTGGCTGGGGTCTGAAATGGTAGCGTAGTTACCAGGAGAGACTTGAGACCTAAGGCTGTGGGTGGCCGCTGCTGGCAAATACTGTTTTGAGAGCGGCCAGTGGCGTCATTGAGTCTGATAGGGTCCCGAACTCAAGTTCTCAGGGATGCAGGAATGTGTCTAAAACCACATCCACAGCAGCCACCCCGGCTCCATCCTGGATGCCTGAACCACAGTTACTCCATTTTGATTTTTAAATATATCCTTTTCTTTAACGTTAAAGCAGTTGCACAATGTGTGTTCAGCAGGCCTTAAGACAGGCTGCTCTAGATGAATGGATGGAGAAGATGAGATATATATGCATATGTGATATATGTATATATGTGATACACACACACACACACACAATGGAATACTACTCAGCCATAAAAAAGAATAAAATAATGTCCTTTGCAGCAACATGGATGGACCTAGAGATTATCATGCTAAATGAAGTACATCAGAAAGAGAAAGACAAATACTATATGATATCACTTATATGTGAAATCTAAAATATGACACAAATGAACTTTACAAAACAGAAACAGACACACAGACATAGAAAACAGACTTGGGGTTGCCAAAGGGGAGGCGGGTAAGGGAGGGGTGGATTGGGTTTGGGATTAACAGATGCAAACTATTATATACAGGATGGATAAACAACAAGGTCCTACTGTAGAGCACAGGGAGCTATATTCAATATCCTGTGATAAACCATCATGGAAAGAATACGAGAAAGAATATACATATGTATAACTGAGTCTCTTTGCTGTACAGCAGACATTAACACGACAATATAAATCAACTGTACTTCAATAAAATACAACTTTTAGAAAGACAGGCTGCACGCGAGTGCGGCTAACACAGCAGCAGCGAGCACACAATGATTTGCCCCCAGAAGGACTTGCTGGGCCTCCTCTCTGCACCAGTCAAGTCCACCACCTTCCAGAAGCCTTCCCAACCGGTGGATCCCGTGGGGATTTCTCACCTCTCTGATGTCCCGTAGCCCTGATCTCCTTAGCAGCCCTTCGTGTAGTGGGTGCTGAGTGAATGTCAATAATGAGTGTCATTACTGTTATTAATATTA